CGGTCTAACCGAGCCCAAATTCTTCAAGTTCCTTGTCTTTCATTACACCAAGACAATTTTGGACCATCAAAAGGAATATCAATCAGACATGCTTCATGAATAAAAGTATTGAACTCCCGTATAGCCAAAGACGATGCATACAAACCACCGATTTTTTCATCATTGGAGCGAATAATATTAAAATCGCCACCAACTATCCACCCAGAATTACCACTGTCTAACAACTTCAATTGATCCCACAATTCCCTTCTACGTCTCTGACAACAACTAGCATATACAAAAGATGTAAGGACCCGAACTTTTCCAGTTGAAAACCAACCTGATATCTCTTGCCCTGAAGTACTAATCAGCGAGAAAGACATTTCCTGTTCCCAAAACATCTAAATTTTACCTCCTTCCTTGACATTTGCCATGTAATTCTGAAATTTTAACCTTTTAGCCCAACGATCAATTTTATCAACAGTAACAAAAGGTTCCATTAAAACTAAAATCGAAGGATTATGCTGTTTTCTCAGACTCAACAACCCGTTCTTAGAGGACACTACACCCCGTAAATTCCAAATCAAAATATTCATAGCCAATAAGATTTTTTAGATCTAGTAGTGAGACCTAAGGTCACATTTTTTCGACTTCTTCCCCTACCTTTTTTGTGAGGTGCTGACCAAAAATGATCTGTGTCATAGTTAAGGATTTCTAGTTCAGGCAGCTCATTCTTATCCTCACATTCAGATGTACTTTGAACCTCCACTATCTGCTCTTGACTTTGTAAGATGCACATGTTTTGGGATATATGGGGAAGAGGTTCACCTCTGATCACACGGTCTGCAATACTATCCATGATGTTCATAACAAGAGCCTTTTGAACCGCATCAGCATCACACCTGAGAATGGCCTGTTCCAGAACAATTTTATTAGAATCTGTTATTCGCTCCAAATTTTTGCTAGTGTTCAGTCCTCCTTCATTTACAGTTGCTTTGCTGGTAGTAATCTTAGATGTTTCTCTACTATCCTCCACGTTTTCAGCACTGACCACACCCAATTCTTTTTCCAGATTCTGCTCGTCCAGATTACTCAGCTGTGTTTCAACTTTTCCGTCTAGATCTGCATACAGTATCAATGCTGATGGAATTAATATATCTCGCTTCAGAATTCTTCTTCTTTTTTCTTCGACCCTCGTTTCCTCGTTTTTCGGCAAGTTCTCCCTTTCTGATTGCTGAACATCTTCCTTTTCTTTCCTACGCCATACTTTTCTAGCTGCTTTAGGAATAATATCATTCTGAATATTTCCTCCTCACTGCTTCTTCCATTTACAGACCCCCTCTAAATGCCCTTGATTTCGGCAGAATAGACAGAAGTGAGGCAGCTTTTCATAAACTATTTCTTGAAATCGACTAGATGGATGGTTGGGCACACCCAACCAGAACGACTTCACCAGTGGTTTTGATATATCCATCTCCACACAAACGTGAGCACCATCTGTGCGGGAAGCACATGCCGTGAAATTATCTCTCTTCAAATATCGGCCGAATGCACCAGCAATAATTCGAAACATAGATTCACGATAATATTGGGGGGGGAAGTCCTGGAAGAAAAATCCATACCGGAACAAGAGAAGATTCTTGATCTTCATCAAAATCTGGAGACCAGATAAATAGTCTATACGGTGCACCTTCGATTTCTGCAGATTTACGCGCACAGGCAATACCAAAATCTTCCTCTGACGTGAATCGAATGAAAACATTACGTGGTTGCTGCATGGTACTCACCGAGAAGAAACCCTTTATTCCCCATCGAACCTCGATGAAAAGTCGGATCTAATCCAGCGTAGGCCTCCTTTTCATGNTTCTCAGACTCAACAACCTGTTCTTGGAGGACACTACACCCCGTAAATTCCAAATCAAAATATTCATAGCTAATAAGATTTTTTAGATCTAGTAGTGAGACCTAAGGTCACCTTTTTTCGACTTCTTCCCCTACTTTTTTGTGAGGTGCTGACCACAACTGATCTGTGTCATAGTTAAGGATTTCTAGTTCAGGCAGCTCATTCTCATCCTCACATTTAGATGTACTTTGAACCTCCACTATCTGCTCTTGATTTTGTAAGATGCACATGTTTTGGGATATATGGAGAAGAGGTTCACCTCTGATCACACGGTCCGCAATACTATCCATGATGTTCATAACAAGAGCCTCTTGAACCGCATCAGCATCACCCCTGAGAATGGCCTGTTCCAGACCAATTTTATTTGAATCTGTTATTCGCTCCAAATTTTTGCTAGTGTCCATTCCTCCTTCATTTACAGTTGCTTTACTGGTAGTAATCTTAGATGTTTCTCTACTATCCTTCACGTTTTCAGCACTGACCACATTCAATTCTTTTTCCAGATTCTGCTCGTCCAGATTACTCAGCTTTGTTTCAACTTTTCCATCTAGATCTGCATACAGTATCAATGCTGATGGAATTAATATATCTCGCTTCAGAATTCTTCTCCTCTTTTCTTCGACCCTCGTTTCCTCGTTTTTCGGCAAGTTCTCCCTTTCAGATTGCCGAACATCTTCCTTTTCTTTCCTACGCCATACTTTTCTATCTGCTTTAGGAATAATATCGTTCTGAATATTTCCTCCTCCCTGCTTCTTCCATTTACAGACCCCCTCTAAGTGCCATTGATTTCGGCAGAATAGACAGAAGTAAGGCAGCTTTTCATAAACTATTTCTTGAAATCGACTAGATGGATGGTTAGGCACACCCAACCAGAACGACTTCACCAGTGGTTTTGATATATCGATCTCCACACAAACGCGAGCACCATCTGTGCGGGAAGCACATGCCGTGAAATTATCTCTCTTCAAATATCGTTCGAATGCACCAGAAATAATTCGTAACATCGATTCATGATAATATTGGGGGGGAAGTCCTGGAAGAAAACCCTATACCGGAACAAGAGAAGATTCTTGACCTTCATCAAAATCTGGAGACCAGATAAATAGTCTATACGGTGCACCTTCGATTTCTGCAGATTTATTTACGCGCACAGGCAATACCAAAATCTTCCTCTGACGTGAATCGAATGAAAACATTACGTGGTCGCTGCATGGTACTCACCGAGAAGAAACCGTTTAGTCCCCATCGAACCTTGATGAAAAGTTGGATCTAATCCAGCGTAGGCCTCCTTTTCATGAATTTTAGAACTACAGAAAACCGGAATGGGGAGGCTGCAACGTCCAGTTCAGTTTTGGAAAAGTGGAACCACAAAGTTCCATCGCTTTCATTAGGTTTTCTCATCTCGATCTTAGCCTCTGGTATAGGTTGAGGTCTTGCCACCACCACAGACGCGTAGGTCGCATTCCCCACCGCCGCCTTGACAGCCGGCCGAGAAGGAGGCGCCTCCGCCATCCCTCAGCGAGCTCTAGGTTTAGGGTTACGTTTTATTTTTGGAAAGTTTTTTTTTGGTTTCGCTAATATCTTTTTTGATGACTGTCTATTGTATAGTTTTTACTTAACATGTTTTGGACATATTAATTAAAATTTCAATACAATAATCAAATTATTTTTATAGTCTCCTATGTGTCAATTAGTGGTACAATATTTCAAATTTGGTTTTCCAAACGAGTTTGTTAAGATTAGAAGTCCTGGGTCAAGTTGATAAATTATTTGATTTTCAATTTATTTTTATTTGTCTCGGCTTTATAGGACTTGGAATCTTGCTGAATTCAAAAATATTTCATTAATCTTTGTTTACTTAATCATTAAAGAAAGACTTTCATGATTATTTTTACCTAAATAATACAGTTTCTACGAAGGACGTATACAAAGTAAGATATACAATTATTAATAAAATAACAACAAAATTATGCCATATGAGTACTATATTTAT